TGTGACACTCATACTGTCTATTTCAAAATTCTAAAATGAAATCACAGATCATACGTATCGTACTTCCGATCGTCTAAAATGTTAGTTGATTCATTGATACCAAATTTAGAACATTAAAGCATTGCAGAATTTACAAAACAGGATGTTTCCAAATTAAAACTCAAGTAACAAAGGTTAACCTTCATGACTGTAAACCCATAGCAAACATGTTTAACTATGTTTAACAATTCTTTCCGCTAGTAGTATCCCCAATTGGATCTACTTGATATGCATAATTCGAAGCGTAGAAACATGGAAATACACGACCAGGAAGAAGAATGGAGATCGCTGACCCTTGGACTTACAAATTGTTAACGAAGAATACTGATCACGGAGGAAGCGAGTACTTCTCGTTCGAGTTGAGGGTTTTCTTAAAATTGGAAACAAATTTGAAATTGATGCTTATCTGGGTATGATCACTATTTTCATATCTTTGAAAATTAGTCCTCTCGTGATTTCTAAAAATTGGTGTAAAATCTTCTTCGGAGTGTTGTAACAGAAGATCCTGATGTCTCGCCAATATATTTCTCTCGTTTTCGTTTGCGATTTGAGATTTACGATTCATTTCTGATTGACTTTAAGCTTTTTATAATACCGTAATCTTTTAAGCTTGTTTTCACCGCCGTAATGAATTTTTCACGCAGAAATTTTCGGATTCGATGTTTTCACACCAGACTATATTTTCTGACACCTTCTTCGTTCTGTCTGTTGATTCTGCCCAGGAACTAAAGTTCCGTATGAAACTTTTGGCACCTGATGTGCAGTAGGCAAAAAGGTGAAAGACGTGATGATGTGCGTGAATGACACGTGTTTTTTACTACTACATTAGTTTACGTTTTTAAGAGAAGCTAATGACAAAAAAAGCCGCGATGCAAGAAAAAAATAATGAAAACAAAACTGAATGACCTAATTGAATGAGAAGAAGTGACGACGTATCTTTGGGCCGTATGTTGACCACAAGAATTGTCAGAATCGGACACCACAGATGTCAAATCACGTCAGAGCGATGCTGTTATAGTGCGCTATGATTGTCAAAGCCCAGGTTGACAATGTCAACCAGTGCACATTTTTTTTGGTCGAGACATCCTAGACTATTTTTTTGCATTAAATTGAACACGTGTACCAAATAGAGCTGCGGATCAAATGAAATGATTAAATTTGTTCTAGATTAGATTTAGATGATGTCTATGGAGTTTGTTTCCATTTTTTGTCAATCGGAAACAAACACAGTTTCCCGGTACTCACCTTGAACCCAAAAGTCATATGTCGAAAGGAATTGACTCATCACAGTTAACAAGCATTAGAAAACATCCGGTATACGGATGCATGTACTTGTATGTATCCGGACCTCTCCCTCTCCCCCGGTTTTCCTCGTTCCATCCTTCCGTCTAATTTTCACATTTGAAATGCACTCTTTCTCAAGTTTTTTGCTCTTCTTACCAGCACATAATTGGATTGGAAAGAGATTCTTATGCGATTAGACTTTTCATCTTTATGGTTGCAACCTTTTTCGAAAAGCTTCTTGCCTGGTCTCTAATCTTTCCTCTGCTGATTTTCATTTCCGCTATCAAGGGGAAAAAGATGAATGAAAAAAAAACATGAAAAAGAGGGAGGTGGAAAGTAAATGAACGTGAAAATTTGAAAAAAAAATAATCTGCAGGTAATTAAGCTACTCTTTTTTAAAAGAAATTTCTCTAAATGAAACTTGATCTCATCTACTTCAATCTATTCTATATTTTACCTACAGTCGGAAATTGTGATTGTCAGCTTTTGTGTTACGTGTAGATGTATTGTCAACAGCGTTGTGTACGACATTGAGCTGAAATAAAAAAAATATTGGATAACGTGATAACACTTCTGCCGTACCCAAATATCTCTCGTCACTTCAATCAAGCTCAATTCCCGAAAGACTATTTTTTAGGAACCGGGAGACAGAGAGAAATGATATATGTATATTTTACACCCCCAACTCCGCCATCCGGTTCGAATTGGAAATTAGTAGTAATTTGAACAGCAGAGACCTCCAACGCTTATCGACGTCACATCCTTGTTTATCATTGTACCGAGTAATCTGCATTTTGTCAAACTTTCCCTCTTCCAGACTTTCTTGTCACCCCATATTGCTCCCCGGTTCATGTCTTATTCACTGATCTAAATTTGACATTTACGTAGAACATTTTGATATCCTCTCGGGTTTCTTAGAATATTACTCCTACTCTATTTCCGACGTAGTAAAATGACAAAAGCAAAACCATTTCTGGGATTCCTAATCCTCCTATACGGAAACAATGAAACCCACTTTTTGCATATACAACACAAAACGAGAGGTGTAATAGGGTGTTTAAAAATAACATGAAACCCTTGGAACAATGATTTTGCAATTCGTTCCCAGTAACTTGAAGTCATTAAAAATGATGAGAGTTTTTTATTACGTTGCTCTTTGATGAAACCAAAGAAACGAGTAAAAATAATTTCCCTTTTTTCCAAGGAGACATCAAAAGTACGTCACAAATCGCTCCCTGACCCACTCAATTCATGTTTTGACGATTAATCGCGCCCCGTTTTTCAGAGAAAATGAGTTGTGGAATTGGAAACGAGTAGTGATTTACGGGATAGAAGGTTAAACCCATTGCACGCTCTGGGTAAAAAACACGAAAGTAAACTGGGGAAAAATTAATGAGATTCGATGAGCTCTCGAACTGACTTCCACCCTCAATCCCACCTACACCGCGAGAAAGATGCATTTTCGCCCCTATTTTTACTTCTGATGCAATCGTTGGGGGGACCTCTTTGAATATTCAACGAGACACCTAAAAAAGTGCAACATTGCGAACCAGATTCCGGGTTGGCTAGGTTGGAGTCACTATTAGAACTTGGATGACAAACAAAACCGTTGAACAGTTATTCTAGAACCCCACTCTTTGAATAATAAGCTTAGATTCACTGAGACCAACATTACAGAAATAGAACCAAAAGATAGCATTTATCTAACCGGAGAATCTTAAGCTTCAATTAGAGAGTCTCGGTTCAGTCATGTCAAAACAGTGGCATCAAAATTGGTTTTTCCAAAGATCCACTTCCTATAAAAACATCTTCGAAACATGTTTCCTCAAACCTCTTGAAGACGTCATCAAGTCAAAAAGACTTGATTTCAGTTCAACATATACTTCTATGTAGTTCGAAGAAATTTTAGCACCACTCAATTCATCGTTAATTTTTTGAGAGGACTCTTCACATTCTTCTCCTTTTTCTTCACTTTTTTCCAGACGCCTTTCTCTACTCCTCTTCCTCTTCTAGCCTGTTTTCGCTATTGTTTCCGTGAGCCCTTCTCACCCATATCTTTAGACTCTCATTCATTCTCAAAAAAAAGGGGCGGCGCTTGGGATTCTAGATTTATAAACATGCTACCGCTCCCGCGATAAGTTTTTTTGTTTGGCTGAAACTGAATTCCAGAAGACCTAATATGTTCATTTCCTTCTCTCATTAATTCTTCTATTTTTCGACCTTTCTTCCTGGTTTTTGGCTTTTCCACATTATACCGTAGCACTTGCTTGTAAACACATAAATCCCTTCTCGTGCCCGAAAATGTATAGCCTTGAACTTCTCTGGCCTACAAGATGCAGCTGTAAAATCTTTGTTCGACCGAATTTCGATAGTAGCATCTTTCAGTTTTCGAAATTTTTTACTATTACTACTACTACGATTGAAACCTTTCAAATCCCAAGATTAAAATCGAAAAGCACATGGAAGAGTGTCAGAAAAAGAAACGTGGATTAAAAACTCGCAAGTCCTTTTGTACTTCTGCGAATCACAACAAACAAAAATCACACATGATATTACTACGACGTGTTGTTTCAACAAACAGATTAAAATATAGGAGATTTTCTCATTGTACTAATTCCGAAATTGCTACAACTTCATTCCTTGTGATCAAAAGCCGTGTGGATAGATGTTCCCTGATCTTATGGTATTTTGTTGTTTCCCTCATTTCTTGTCATGAGCTACAGTAGTACTCTTTCATTATTCTTGCAAAAGCATCGACCAAAGAGGAATCTTCATGGACCAACCCAATAAGAGTGTCTAAATTCGCTGGATTGTGCTGATCAGTTTTTGCCAATTAGGCATATCAGCCATTCAACCCCATCTCGCCTCCTTACTACAATCTCCTATCTTCATCTTTATTTTTTTTTCCGCTCTACTACTTTATAGGTAACTTCAAAGTGAGGTGATTTATTTTTTTTCTCCTGCACACACAAATTTTGATCGGAGGCGGCGTCCAAAAATTTTGGAGGCGTTCAAATAAATAAAAAATCTAGATCCTGGATTGAGAATACTGATCCCGAAACACCTAAATTTCTGATAATCCTGGTTACATCAGTAGTAGAGAATAAGTTGGAATTTTTAGACTTTCTTTGAAGTCACATACCACACCTCCCGTTTTGTGTCCGCTCTCCGTTTCCTGCTCCTCCTACCTTTTGAAGCCCCTCCGCCACCTCAAATCGTTACGTTGAACTACGCGTTCTTGTAATTCTGCAAATTTGCTTTAGTTTGTTAAAGAGAAGAAGCAGTTCATCAATCTCTTTCAGCCCCGCCCCGTTTCTTCTCCCACCCACTTTTTTCAAGTCATTTTCTATATGAGCTGAATCTAAATAATATTCAAGATGTATTTTAACCGAAACATACTCTTAAATTAGATTACATTCGAAAGAGGATGAAAACACTTCGGTTCTATGTCCTTTCTTGTTCCTGTTCATTCTTTTCTTATATATTCGTCACTTTTTTTGAAAATTGAGACCTGTTTATTTGTTCAACCTTTTCTTATATACTCGGTTCGACTTTCGGCATTCTCAAGAACATTCTGGTTCCTTGTTCTTTGTTATCCTATTTTCTTTTCTCGCATTATTCATCATACTGTAAACTCATTAATAAAACATATTTTCTATATAAAGATTCATTTTAGGATGTGCCGTTGGTTCACACTCCTTTCGCTTCAATACCTTGTTTATCTGATCTCGGCTTTCGGACAAGAGGTAAGTACAGAAAAACCCACCACCGATATTTACTTTTTCGTTTTTCTTAGTATTACCCAGATAGACGTCTTGATTAGTTTTTTGCTATCCTTGCTTATTGCCTTTTTTCTTATTGTCACATCCTTCTTATTTCAGGAAAGGAACTCATTAATACGACCCATCCATCCGAGGCGACACAAAAGAACGGAACAAGTCCGTCGGCCAGTTGTACCAAGAGCTCCTTTTGTGATGTGGAAAAGTAAGGATTAGGGATAAAATATGGATCGTGATGAACACTGAGATCTTACCAGGGTCACATTACTAGAGCTCAAACAAAACGCGACCTACTTCCTCTCTTGCAGATGATCTAAAATGCATGACAATTCTGGAACGTCCGGGAATGGCATGTCCCAAGAAAAACGTGGACGACCCACTGGAAAAAACAGTATGCATTGAACCTTACCAACTATGTGACGATATGCGAGACTGCCCGGGTGCCCATGATGAAGAACCACATTTCTGCATGTTCAAGAAGCTGGTGAGTGGAATGGCGACACATCTCATGAGATAATATACTAACTGTCCTTTTCTTTTTCAGGAAGATGCAGAATTGAGAAAGCTTGAGTCTGAAATAATCCTGATTATCCAAAACAAAGAAAAACAACGACCAGAATTCAAGGATGTCATTGTCAAAAATGATGATGCAACTGCCACAACAGTTCCAGCCACGCCTAGCACTATTCAAGAACCAATTCGGGAAGGAATCTTCCGGTCTAGCGGTCTGGGTAAAGCAGATAAGACACCTAGCTGGATGCTTAAACAAAACGCACAAGAAGATATGAACAAAACTGTGGAGGAAAGTGAGGAAGAAGAAGAAGAAGATGAGGAGGAAGAAAATGAAGAACAAGAAGAAGAGGAAGAAGCTGAAACCAAGAAAATTCAACATCCAAGAAGGAGGACGACGAGGCATCTGTTCGCGATAAGGGCGATACGTCTATAACCCCGAACAGATTTTTCTAGTCACCTTTTATCTTTTTCCTCTAGGTATCGTGTATTCAATTCTCTTCTACTGCCTACCCAATTCCCCTACCTGTTCTGAATGTTTTCTATCGGAGCCATGTCTCATGGAAACTATCCCACTGCTTGCTTTCTTGCTTCCCACATTTTCGGTTCATTTGAGTGCCCGATCATCTCATGTCACAACCCCAACCTATTACGAGTACTCATTTTTAAATTTATTTTGTTCCCACTATAACCCATCAATTTATTTTGTTCATAGTGTAAATAGAATGTAGGTGTCTACAATAGAGTTGTACTGCAATTTGTATGTATTAATATACCTAGATCTCCGTTTTTTCTCTCCTGATGATATAATATTGTCGTTCCGGGTAATCAGATATCTAAACAAGTGATCTCACTTCATATTTGGTTCTCTTCTTTCCATCTCTGTTTCTATTTTTTTTTGCTGCTACTTAATACGTGTATGCTTTTATTTTTGTGGATTACTTAGCACATAATAATGTATTCTTCAAACAAAGAATTCATACAAATTGAAATCCGTCTTTTGTCCTTAACAACGCAACACAATTCACAAGTAACGTGCACTTTAAGGTGCGTAGGTTATCAATGTAGTCTGAACAATGACGCCAAAAATTTCTGTCTATATGACATTTGCGGGGGGCATACTTTGGGATCAAGCGGGTTTATCTCAAATCCAGATTCCTGGCAACATTCTCAGGTAGGTTTTAGCGGAATTTAAGAATATTCAAGTGACATTTCTCCTTCAGTTTAATTTTTGATGCTTCTCGCTATTTCAGTTCTCAAAAACGCCATCATGTGCCACTCCATTTAATGAGTCGAATTCAAATTCTTCCGTGTTGTTTAGAATCCTATTTAGAAGGATCTAGATAGAAGTGTAGGTGTTTCATTCCCTGAAAATGACTGATCTTCGCATTTTCAACAACAAAAAATTGCTGTATCACCTTCCAAGAAACACAAACATTTGACTTTATGCACTGGGAATTATAACTTAATCCCTGAGCTGTCCATCCACCCTCTTCTCGCAATTTCTAGACCAATGCCATAAATAAAACAAAAATTAGTTGGGCATTTTTCTGATCTGCTTTTTTTCTTCCTCTTCAACTCCTTCTAACACAGATTAGCACGGAAAGTTGTTGAAAAAACATACTGGGAAGACCAAAAAGACGGGAGAAAGGTCAAGCCGGTTTCGCAGAACACTACTACCTGCTGGACATTTGACTGAATTTGGATGACATAAGCAACAGAAGAGTAACCAATATATGTGTTTTGCAGTTTTCATTTGTCCCTGGGTCACGATGTAGTTAATTTGCAATGAGTAATATGTTTGGGTGATCCACTTGAAATTATTCTCCCGGTCCGAAACCGTAGTCCGAGTGGTTCAAAGATCTTCAAAGAAGCGGGACCAACACAAAAACACAAACAAGAAAAAAAGATCATGTGCCTGTTGTATGTCTGTATATCCGGATCACTTCTATGACATATAACAAAAATCAGTTAAATGCCAGGCTTCATTTATGACGCTTCCTGTATCTCGGTATTTTCTAGATTGAAATTTGTTAGTCTAATCCATTAATGTGTGGCTGCCTACTCCTCCCTTTTTTGCGGAGGTCAAACCACAGGGAACACCTCTAAGCGAAAAAAATTTGTGAAATCAAAATTCGAATTTTCCAAATCCTTTAATTTGTTATGTTTTCATATATCTCGTATCACTACTCTTCCTGTAAGGATTCCTGTAAAATTTGATTAATTAGTGCGGGATCAGAACAAAAGCCCCAATCAGAAGAGGATCAGTTGCCCTATCCGTGTAAAATTGGTAAATAAATAGAGCAATGGTGGCCAAAGAATTATGAAGACGTCCAGATAAGTGGCGTGTTTACATTCAACGAACGCTAAAGTGCATCCAGAATTCCGATAAAGTACGTAAGCAGATTTCTGCATTAGCAGAGGGGACTTCTATCAACAAGCAAAAAGGGATACATCGTCGTCACAGGCGAATGTAGTTCGCGGACTCCGAACTTGAATTCTGACGGTTTACGTAAAAAGGCAACACGAGTAGGTACAATTGAAAGCCATGAAAAGCACGGGGTTGCACGTGTGAAGTTTCAAAAATTTTAAAATAAAATCACAATGTTTTAAGAATTGTATTTTGTCTTTTGATGTGTTTCAGAAGCTATCAAGTTAAAAATTTGGGAATGATGAGGGAAATGTATGAGACAGACAAAAAAGGGATCAGACGAAGACGAATTTAAAATTGAGTGTAGTGTGGGTGTTTGCACTATTATCCAATCAGAAACTGATGTACAATACTTTCGAAAAAGTTCTTTTTTGAGAACTTAGGGATCATTACAGTTTCGAACTGCCCTAAATGTCATTTTCATAAACTTTATAAGTTAATTAGCATTTTCAATAGTTTCCAAATGCTATCAAAAGTTCTAATTTATTAACATATACCGAAAATAATTTGTTTCAGTTCTTCTAACATCTTAGATGATGTGATTCTAAGATTAGTGCTCTTTATTAAAGAATATCAGTATAATATTTCTCAGCACATGGTATTCTGACCAACCTCTTTACTTTTAGAATATGTGATTCTGACTAACCGAATGACCGGAGCACACTTTCCACCGCCATATGTTTCTTAAATGTTCCCTTCCGGTTTCTTTCTTAAAGTGCAAGTGTTATTTTTGGATATTTGCAACATTGGGGTGGTGTCCTGTCGTCGACCGACCAACAACGTGTAGCATCTTAATCCTTATTTTCTAATCAACGACGTTGCACAACGTGGCCGGATAATAGATGAAACAATTACGTAGCAGTCCATTAGTAGCCATCGGTGCTTTTGCACCGGTCGCGATTTCCTGGGATTGTATCTAAAATTGGCTTGGCTCTTGCTGAATTAAAATATGTATTCTGGGAGACGATTTTCATGAGAGATTAGTTTAAAAAACCAAATCAGAGGAAACGTGGCGGATATGAAGCGCATTATTGGGAACAGGAATGATGATAAGAGAACATGTTCCAGATGTATTTTTCAGATGACACTTTCAATAGATATCAAACCTCCTTTCGTGATGATCTCAATGCATTCGAAACTTACATTGTAAGTGATGTGATCCGGATCCTTAATTAAAAAAAACTTTGATAACAATTTTTGCCATTATGGATATTAAACTTCAATCAAAATTAGAGAACAAAAAATTGGAAGCTTCTGCAACAATCATTCTGGAAAAAATGCTTACAACAGTAATAAAATAAAATTGCATAATGATATTTTACGCGGATACCGTAGGCTCTGTGATAGCGGACCTCTAAAATATATAAAATAGTTAATTTTGAACGAATTTTTTTACAGGAACCGAGATGAAATCGGACGAACTTGGGTTTGAAACTCAAAGTAATTTGGTGCAGTGGTGACTGAAAATGAAGTTATTTATTTGTAATTACAGAAAATCATCAGATTATCAAATAATGCTATACCTATCATTTATAATTTCAAAGAACTTTTCTGTATTTTTTCTAATAGAAGTTCATTCGAACTGTGAACTTAAAAAACAATCATTTCGATTCTTGTGAGAAATATCACAAATATGTCAATTGAAAAATCATTTATCAGAATATCACCAATATTTTGAGAGTTTACAATTTTTTCAGAGTGTTTGCGGCATAGTGTTTGCGGCATTTCCCTTACTGATGAAATGTTTATTAGTAAGGAACTTTGAAATTCAACTTTCTAATTTTTGTTGTTCTGTTTGAACTAAGTGATAGTTTTCAGTCATGTTTCCAGTTTCATAAGATAATCCATCAAAAATGTATGTTCAGAATCATCACAAGTCCCATTATTCAAAAATAGTTCGAAACACAGGAATTTCAGCTAAAGTTCAATAAAACATGTCTTTCCTTTGACTGTAAAAACTGTCTTTCTGATTTGTGATTGAACAAACTTCCAAACAAGTCCTAAAAAATTCTTCATGACGCTGCCCTTTAATTCGGAAATGTGGAAATTTGATACCGCAAGACCTCACGACATTGAGAGCGCCTACTATTATTCGATTTGACGACCTTTTTCTTACTTTGTTTGTGTGCGAAAACTGTTGAAATTGAAAAACTGAGCTGCTCAAACCGACTTTTTTAGTGCTAGACAATGAAAAAAAAACTGAAAAAACGGAAACAACGTTTTTTTTTCTTCTCGCTTGAATGAAACTTAAAAATTGAATGAGTGCCTAGTTGTGAATGTGTGCAGTATTATTGCATTCCATGTTTCAAACTTTTCTTTTTTTTTCTTCTTTTCCTTTTGTAACATACATACATTTCTTCATTGCGAAAAACGTTCTTCCCGATTGTTTTCCCATCTAATGTTTTTCCCCTATTGTTTATAAAAAAAGTATTTTCCTCCTCCTGTTTTTTTAGCATGAGAAGCCGAAATTTCAACTGGTTTCGCAATACCGAATTCAATTTTTATTTGTGAGAAGAAGATACGTAGTTACTCAATTTAGTGAAACGGGTGGTATGTCGTAAGCGACAACGGAAGAGAGCTATTTCTGTTTTTTATTATTGCATTCAAAAACCGAATTCAGTCTTTTTTAAAATAAAAATGAAACATTCATTTGTATATCAAAATATCACCTAGATTACTACACTTAAAGAAAACAAAAATCACCAGGATTGGATTAAAATTCATGTGAGCTCGATCTTTGTTATTGCCCTTTCAATTGTTTATATCAATGACGAGACTTGAAACTTTGTGAGACTAGGATCAGAAAAATGAATGCCATCATTTATTTAACATACTGGTGGATCGAATCAGAAGAACAAAACTAGAATATAGCAGAAAACTGATCCATTTAGACGGGGTGGGTTATCGAAATGTGAGACAGATTACATAATTCAAGCAACTTTTTGAGGAAATGAGAATTTGGAAATGGAGATGTGGGAGTTTCAGGGATTTCTAAAACTGGAGTTTGAAAAGAACGTCACTGTCTTATAGATATTGAGATTATAGAATTTGGAGTCCAAGTATTAAGTGGCGTTCAATTGAATTATTCACAGTTAATGGGATGATAGAAAATTTAGAATTGAATTAATTTTCTTTTTGAAGTAGGTGAAAAGCACACTTGCAATGAGCCGAGTTTTTGAAAAAGAATTTTCAGGGTTCGGTTCCACGGTCCAGTGTTGTTGTTTTTTCCCTTCTGGAGTTAAATGAGAATTTTTTTTAACTCGCAGAAATGAACTCATAAAGGGTAGTTTGTCGTAAAAAATATTTTTCACTAGCATTATTTATCAAAATTTCAGAAATCTCAGAACTATTCTAATTAGAATCCACCGGGCCGGCCTAAGATTTTTCAAGTATGATAAAAACTATAAAAGAAAACCCAAAATCTCATTTTCTCCGTTAAAGACCACTCGAGGACTAACCTCTTGCGACAACTCTTGAGAACTCTCAAGAGCTCAACTAGTGTTGATATCATAGGGAGCAAAGGGTCAAGAGACTGTTCTTCCTTTTTTTTGTGCACAAAATCGGAAAGTGAAACTATCTGTGTCTCGGCCCTCAACCACACATTTTTTGATTTCACATTTGTCTGCCTGCCATAATATTTTGAAAGGCAAACATGAAACGTTATTCTCCCTCTGTTGCCTTTTTGCGGAAAACGTTGGCAAGTGTTTGTATCTCTTCTAGACACGTTTTTCGGGTTTAGGGCCATCATTATTATTTTGGTTTTTATTCAGTGATGAATGCGGCTGGTTTTTTTGTACTCAAAATAGTTTCAATTTCAGACTGAATCTTCACTTAATACTAGAAATGAATTTGGAAAATTCCTTCTCTCGTGGAGTACCACATCAATTTGAATTGTGCGAACATTCTAACATTTTGAGTTTTGTCAAAACTGTGACTTGATTTTCTCGTATCAAATTGTGACCGAACTTGAGAATTATTAACTTGTTTAATAGCTTTTGAAATATTCGAAAAAAGCTTTGAATGAATAGTTTGTAAATAGCCGTGGTTTACCAGTTCATCATACGTTAATTTTTTAGTGTTTCTTCTTTCAAAAAACTAACTTTTTGGTTTAAATATTGAGAAATGAGTTTGAATGACTTTGAAAGGGTAATTGACACAAAAATAGGAAAAAGTATATTTGATTTTTCACAAGCTTGCCGATTGGTAATTGAGAAACCCAAATTTTGTTTTGATTTAATGCTTGAAAATTAAGAATTTTGAAAATGCATTAATTTAAGAATTAAAAAAATGATCTGAAACAAAAACGTACTACTTTTTGAATATTTTGTCTTCTTTTTCAATCTTACTATCATATTTCGGAAATCATCTTTTGTCAGGGCTCCGTTAAATTTTCTTTTCTCCATTTAATAGGTTAACTGTCATTTATGACTTTCAACTTTACCGAAGCACACGCTCTGGTACGCCTCGACACACGTACAACCCCCATGGTCGGAGAAGCGCGAGGGAAAGAGGGAAGAGGTTCAACACCCTCGATACGTAATATGATTATACATGTCTCATGATGATTCGATCAATAACCGAACGCGACAGTGCGTCGAAGGCCGGTTGGCCGAAAGATCCATTGTGTGTCTGTGTCTCAAGCACTTGTTGTATACACGCACTCACTCTCTCACTTCCTCCAATTCGGCCCTCACTCTCCCGAAACCTTCCGTCTCCCTTGCGATGTTTTGCTTTCCATTGCTTTTTTTCGTTCGGTTCGTCTCTCAACCAATCTAAACATTTAACCCGGGCCTCACGCACCGTATTGAGCATTGTGTTCAGCTTTTTGTATTCTTTGTTTTTCTATCTTTTTAAAGATTTTCCTTTCTCAAAAATTTAATTGAAAAATCGTTCATGAATATTGGGCAATTATCTTTTGCGACATCAGCGGAGAAACGTTTTTGTCTTTTACACACCTAGTAGTGTTGTCTATTTCTTCCACACCCAGTCATAATCTTTGAGGTTTTTCTTCAATGAGAGAATTTCTTACAGTAGTGAAACTTATGACCTTTTGCATAATCTATCAGTTCCCCTGCCTGCACATTTTCACGTGCGTGTGGTGCAAAAAGATCTAAAACAATACAAAAATCGTCCCGACATGACGAGAAATGACATCATCACAGTCAGTTTCTCCCTCACAACCCTTTCCTTGATACTTTTCCCCTATCAATTCGTTTTTTCTATTTCTAAAAGAACAAAAAGATTGTGAAGGAAAACGAAATCGTCATCGGAAATGGGTCGATCAGCAGCAGTAGTTGTTCCTGTGTCAGATTTTTTTGGCCTCTACCCATGACTCACTTACTGTCATTTGTCGTCCTCTCTCTCCATGATTATAAATCTTTTCTCAATCCTTTTTTCCTCCTATAATCAACCATCAAGTTGCGTGAACGAACCCCCAGTTAAGCCTCTCTGAATCACTAGCCAGAGGACAATGTAAACAGTATCTTTTTTAACCATTGCAATGTTTGGAAGTAAAAGCAATATGTGTTCATTTCATGAGTTGTTGAAATGTTTTTGATAAGGTTTTTGATAAGCTCCAAAAGCATGTGACTTTTGAAAATATTGATTATTGGTTGATTTTGTAGGAGAACATTTATGATTTCCGGTATTTTCCAATAAGTCATGAGGAACATAAAAAACTTTATAAAGCTATTTTTGCTATTTTTCATTCTTTTTACGATTTGTTACTATTCTAGAAACAGCTCAAGTTATCCGTTGAAAAATTAGTGGACGGTCAAACTATATCGACTGTTTTATTAATTTTTTTTAAACTTTAGATTATATTCATTTTTCCGCGCTTTAGTTATAGTACCGTACAAAAACTTTTATTTGAACTATCTCAGTAGTGAATACAGAATTTTCCGTGTCCTGAAAAATTATCCCAGTGTTTTTCTATTGCTATGAAAAGTTATTCTGATGATTTACGTTGTTTGTAACCAAAAAAAGTGCCAAAAATGCCCGAATTTACACTGGAATGGGTTGTTTTGTATATTCAAATATCTCTTAACTCGCATGTCAAATTTTCGCAGTAAGTCATTCACAAAAATGATACTCTCACTTTATTTAGGATATTCTGAAAGTTGAGACAAAATCGAAACATTCTGAATTACTTTTTCAGAGCTTATGACCAGAAATTAGCTATTTTTAAACAATTTTCTTTGTTTTTCTCTGTCAAAAATTCGCTAATCGACATTTCAGTTTTTTTCGTGTGATATTATATCACAGCTATATCATTTTGTTCATCTAGGAAAATAGAGTATAGCTGATACGAACAACTGTTTTTCTCCCAACCACTCCTCCTCCAATCGCTTGGCACAGATTTCAAAACTAAAAAATATACTGACACATCCACACGATGCGTTGATCTTTTTTGATCTTTTCAATCGTTTTACATAATTGTTCCATAGTCTGTCTGTGTGTTTCATCACAAAATACTCGCAAGTTGTTTCTCTGATCTTCTTCGCCTTCTCCTTCTCCCTCCATCATTGCGAAATGAGTGCGAGAAGAGTTGCTTCCGTTTTTTCCTCTCTGGAGGTTTTTTTGTATAGACAAGAGACACATGTCTCCCGTTGCATCTTCATTTCGGACCCCATTGCTCCCACTCGGTGTTTTTTTATTTTCCCTCGCCTTCTGTCTTTTTTTCATGTGAGACTCTAACATGTTATCAATTTCCTCCTTAAAACGGAATTTCTGGTTTGTAATTCGGACTGTGAATACTTGATTCTTATCGTTCTAAAGGGAGCAACCCGGGTTACAACTGATATGCGGGGTTTTTTCTTCTATTTTCTGCTGCTTAAGACAAGAAGGAAGAAAGAGAGAAAGAAGCAAGTTATGTGAAACGTCGCAAGTGTTTCAATTTTTCAACATCTGCTTGCTTCTCCTGTTTTCTCTATTCCTCTTATTCTTTCACTCTAATTTTTCTATTTTTTGTCATTGTTTCCCATTTTCCGGTTAATTTTTCTTATTTCGTTCTCAAGTCTTCAATTAACATGTACATTTTCAGGAGGCTGACAATAGCATGTCTTGCGGATAATCGACAAAATGGACATCGGCCCGTCGTCGCGAAATTCGGCGAAGGAGCTGATCAGTCGAAGTTCCATTTTCCGCTATTTGGTGCTGTTGACATGCTTCGTGTCAGTAATTGACGGACAACTCAACGGGAAACTCAATAGTAATGGCGTTTATGTATCACGAGACGAACTGCAGAATAAGAATGTATGTAATCTATTGGAAAAGTGTTAAAATAACAAAGTGGGAAAAATAAGAGTTAGAATAGGATCTGTTCTTGAACATTCATTTGCAATAAAAGCTTCTTTGGGGATAAAAAAAACAAGGAATTTGGAACAAAGTTCGAATCAAATCTAACTGAATTACTAATATTTTCCTTTCTCAGGTTCTCGGAGTCACAGAAGGCTTTGGTGTACTCGTCGTTGCCACTCATTCAAAACTCCACGTGTTTGAGAACGATGAAGAACGTAAGACTTCCAAATATCCTCCAAATGTATCGATTAATCATTCAGGACGAACAACCGGTCACGTAAATTTGGATATGCAACCACGTAGCAAATTTATTGAACTCAAGCTTCTCTCAAAATCTGAAATATGCTACTGTGACGAATCTGAGTGCGGACTGTGTACATATTCCGGAGTAACGTCTTCTTGTTCGAAACTTCAGTTACACGAGGATGAACCCAAAATTCAAGAAGTATTAAGCGCGTCCGCTGTAAAGCTTCAGTCATCTGGTGATACCCTGTTAGCGGTTTCATTCAGAAATGTGGAGGATGACTTCAGAACGGTGATGCTCAGATACAAATCACAAGATTCTGGGTGAGATTTGGAAAGCTATATTAGTTATTCAATTATGTTTAAATTTCAGAAACAACTACCCAATTGCATATCATGCGGAGCCAAAGTTTATCGAAAACTACGTACTGACGGCTTTTGAAAAAAATGGATTCGTGTATTTTGTGACGACTGCGACACAGAGCTTTGCGCCTGATCTGATTCTTCATGGAAACGCCAAACCGGTTACGGTCACAAAAGTGATTCGAATGTGCTCAGGAGATCAAACTCCAGATATGGCATCAAAGATTTCTGTGCTTGTTGGATGTGATCAAGAATGTAAGATTTTCAAATTCAAACTTCTCAGTAATTTTTCTCAAATTGCAGATCAAAGCATCAGTTCACGAGGCGAAGCGGCTGTCTACGATAATGAAAACGGACAGCTTAATGTGATCAGTTTTAATCATTCATCTATGGTATCTAAAATGGAATTTCTCGTGGTTAATTTCACTTAAAATTGATTTCAGGCTCATGTGATGTGCCGATTCAAATTATCCAATCTCGAAAAACGATTCGGCAGTGTGTGGAGTTTTTGTCAGGAGACTTCATTCAACGAGATCCCCGGAAAAAAGAACCAGTGCATCTTTCCACCGATTTTTGATGGTATGCGGAAAAAGAAGGGATGTCTCGTTTTCAGTCGAGTAGATGACGAGCTGATTCCAACGCTCTGTGCTAAATATGGCGTGAGTTTTTAAACGATTATTTTAAAAAAGTTAATCAGTTGATCGGTGTTCAGAGGGATCAAGTACTGGATAATTGTCAGCTTCATCAAGCAAAATCAGACAGCTATCGATACGGATGGTTGGAAGATTTCAACGTTCTTCAAGGAGAACTAATGATGAAGTAAGTTTCCTATTCAGAATGAGATCCTAGGACTACCAGTTCTTTCATTTTTTGAAATGCAAAAGTCTTGGGTGAAACTCTCAAAAGCTGCTGTAAGTTTTGTGTATTATAAAATTGTTTCAGAGTTCCTTTCCCTTTTTTGGAAAAAGTTGATGCTCTGATGATTGATGGAGGTGCATATTTTGCAGCCACTTCTGGTGATTCCGGTCACACTGATGTTATTCGCGTAAGGACTCATTTCTACTCTTTAGAAATTCATTGTCAGTTATTAGTTCTCCCCCTCGGAAAGCGCTGATTTCAAGGCAAACTGGAGAACCAACATCACAGAAACTGGAAAGTTCTCGATTTCTAAAATTCAGGAAAATCGCCTACTTTATACTACTGTTGAAGGAGTAAGTACAGTAATTCGTCGATTTTTTCACAAGTAATTTTTCAGCTTCAAAGCGTTCTCATCTCTTGCAAGGAGCTCTACCCAACCTGCAACTCATTGAAGTCTGGAGGATGGCAAGATCCACTGGATTGTTCTTGGTGTGCTGATGAGAACTCGTTCCGTACCATCACGGCGTCGGAAGTCGGTAGTTGCAAAAACAATCTAAAATTTGAATGCCCGCCAAGCATGCGATGGGTAAGAAATGTTCAGAGGAAATAGATGAAACTCTATGTATTCTCAGATTCACAAATACAACAACAATTCTGGATTCACCGCGGTGGTAGATGGGTTCCGAGCTCTGAAAAATCCAAAGTTGAATGCATGTGGAACCAACTGTGTTGTCACCGTGGTGGATGCATCCAGTATCCAATGTGATACCAATCCAAATGATATCATTGATGACTCTTGTAAACAAGTGTATTTGAGTGGAACAATTGGAGACAAAAACTACTCCTTCCCATTCGATTACCAACAAGCTGACAGAGGAACTCAAACTGATGTCAAGAACTCACAAGCCGAGGGACAAAAGGGTAGCAGTCCTGGGTGGAAGGTTGCTATTGCTATTATCTCGGTTATGACTATTATTCTCATCGTGGCGTTTATCGTGTACTGGATGAGAAATCGATTCCCAAGAATTAAACCTCATGTGAGACCACCATTCCGTGAAACTATCGAGAATGAGTACCGCATGGGAAGTTTACCGGGAAGTCTGACCCAAGTTGTGATCAATGGAGATAACTACGTTAAAGTGTTCAGGTATATCCTAATTCATTTTGGAAGCTTTAATTTTTTTTCATAACTTTCAGAAGTTTCCCACCAGATTTGAAAGTGGATTTCAAACAATTGAGAGTGGACAAAACGGATCCTATTGGCCAAGGACACTACGGAGTAGTCTACAAAGCCATCTATGCACCATCCAAGACGCATGAAGAGAAGGTGGTCTGTAAATATTTGAAGGACGGAAAAATTTCTGAGTTTTACGATGAAGGTATCTTTTTTCGATTTTATTAGTTTTTCCAAAAAAAATTTTTTTCAGCAAAAACCATGTCGGAATTCAATCACACCAATATTCTAAGATTTATTGGGTTGGCGCTAGACGATGTTTCCCATTTTCCAATTATCATTACCGAGTGGATGGCAAACGGAGATTTGAAGGTTTTCATCAGCAACACGAGCATTTCTATCAAAATGCGAGATTTATTTGAGTTCGCATTAGATATTGCCAAGGGAATGAACTATCTTCACGAGAAAAAATATATTCATCGAGATCTCGCTTGCAGAAATTGCTTGTGAGTATTTTAACAACCTGCTAAAAAAGTATGAATGTTTTTTCCAGGTTGGATGAACATCAACGTGTCAAAATTGCTGATTTCGGTTTGTGCAGGAAAGTGAACATGGAAACGGGTCTTTACGAGCCACATAATGAAAGAGATTTGCCACTTCGTTGGTTGCCACCGGAGATCGTTGAAAGAGGGGTGAGTATTTGTTGTATCTAGTGAACAGTGGTCCACACTAGACAAATCTTGACTAACATTTGTCATCAGGTCTGGCTATTTTCGGAAAATTTGCTCTAATGGCTTTTTGAGTTTTTGACTATAAAAAATTTCAACAATACTCCGCCGTAACGCTAATTTCGAAATATAAAAGTTGTCAAAAGTTTCAAAATTTCGAAATCTGATCCGGTCTGACTTTTATAGGACCAGAGTAAAATTGAGCCAAAGTTGATGATGAAGGGACCTAAATTATATCCCGAATCCTTTTGAGACTCATTATCAGTCAATTACTTTTGCAGTATGGAGTCCACTCGGATATTTGGTCATATGGAATTGTGATCTGGGAGCTATTCACCCGAGGAGCCACACCATACCCTAACAGGTCAACGAAATTCCTTTTGGACTGGCTCCGAGATGAATCAAATCGATTGGATAAACCACCATATTGCCCAGCTATTTTGTAAGTTATTTTCAAATTCACAAGAAATATAATTATTGATTTTTAGGTATACTGATGTGATGCAAGCGTGCTGGCGAGCCATTCCAGAGGAGCGACCGCAATTCAGCGAGCTGGTCACAATCATTCCAAACGTTGTGAAATATTTGGAAGGATACGATCGCTCACAGTTACATGCTGGTTATGAGCGAGTAAGTAGTAGGTGCTGCTTGCTTTTCTTTTTGTTCCCCTACCCCAACATAAGATTATAGAATTTCGAATTTTTTTTTGAAGAAAAAAAACAGGTTTTCACATCTTTTAATTAAATCATAACTTACTTTGTTCCTACCGCAACCTAACACGAAGGTTTTAACTGGTGGTTGTATTTTTTGTGAGACGTGGTTTGTCGTTTTGTTTTTACGTTCTGTTTCGTTTCTCGTTTTTGGAAATACTTCCGAAGTTTCATTCAAACCACTTTAATTTTCACTTTTGTTGACTTACCCCCAATATTTTGAAGCTCATAATCATTAAATTTCTATGTTTCAGGTTTCTGAGCTTATCACATCACGACCAAGCATCTCCAACATATCAGAATGAGCCTTCTCCAACCGAACCACTTCTTCGTAAAAAACCGTTTCAACATACCGATGTATCCGACTATCTTGCCGATTCCGAAAGTCCCTCCAGCCGTCCTTCAACTTCAAATGCAATTCCAAGCACTTCTGAATCTCAATACGAATTATTGAGCGGAACTTGTGAAACTCCGGTTTAAATCTAAATTCCCTTAATAGATCTCAAATAGTTTCTCATTCAGTTTTCTGTAAATTGCTTCGAACTTTGTCAATTTTTCAAAAATCTTTCATATAACATTTATGAAACATCCACAATCAAACGAATCCCGTTCCTCGCGCAATCAATCCGATTCTGTTCTCCATTACTGGTAATCGTCTTGTGATTTTTATTGTACTGTCCCTTTTTTTTCAGATGTTTGTTCAATGTCTTTGGTAACTTATATGCGTTTTGTGCGTCTTCCTTAATACGGAAATAAAAATGAATTTGAATTTTTAGAATAAAGGAATATTTCACGAATTTGAACAAAGGATAGTGTAAGACAAGAACGGAATAAATACAAATGGCATAAATTATTGGCAAAAATTGTGTTCATTCACTGTGGTTTTTTACTGTTTTCGTTGCTGAGGCTGGATTCTGTTAATCTCTTCCCGAATTCGTGGAATCATTTCTGGAGAGAATTTGTGGATTGTAGGGGCCACCGCGTCTGAAAACAAGACATTTCGAAAAATAGTTTTCAAAATGCACACCGCGAACATTTTATTTCTCTATTGTAAATATTTTCGAGACCAAAACCGACCTATTAATGTCCTCCATGGGTCATTGTGTGCCATTTCCTTCTTTGTTTCCGCGAACGCACTTAATGCGGCCGAGAAATAGTTGTTTGCCTGATTTCCGAGTTCCGTGAAGTTTAGAGAATTGGATTTCAACTGGTTGAGCAGCGGGTTCACCGCTTCTAATGGAGACGGGGACGGTGTAGTGGTTGTTCGTGTAAAGTCAATCTCCGGTGGAACAAATGACGGGTTTTGTATGAACCATGGTGAAACGTACTGAAGGATTAGTATGTGGAGGATAGCGTTAAGATAACTATAGTACCATTCCTGGAGCTTGAGTTGGCTCCTCCTTCACTCCGTCATCATGCCAATTGATTTCTACTCTCAATGGTTGTGTAATATTTTGCTCGGGTGTCATTTTGAAATTAAAGGAAACTGGAGGAGCAGCGAGCACATTTTCATTAGGTTTAACAACCGGAGCCAATAAACTAGACAGTGTTGAAACCTGTATATCATTTTTCTATATATTTTTGAAGATCCCTAACTCACCTGAACTGCATCAGCTTTGTAGTTCCATGGAACATAGGTTTGAGTTGGTTTATCACCTGCTGGGATGATAGTTCGTGTTGTTCTCACAATATCATTTTTCAGAGTATTTGGATTCTTAGTGGTATATGGATTTGGTAGAAATTTATGCACAATTTTTGGCTTCTGCGTTGTTGTTGTTGTCCTTGGAGCCATTGGCGCTCCCCGTTCATCAACAAACACCGTTTTGATAACTGGTCCAGCTGATTGAGACACTGTTGGTCTCGGCTTATTTTTAGAGTGAGGATCAGTTCGTCTCATAATAGGAAGACTAGTACGCGTGATGATTCCATCTATCACTGGAGGAAGTTCTGGCGGATGAACAGTCACATAGGTGGTAGAAGAGGTCGTTTGCGCAATCAGCGACTCTACAGGAAGTCCCTTCCTAAGTTCGGGTTCCGGTTTTCGACTCAAATCGTATTGACATTGCATTGGATATTCTTTGTTGGTTAGCACCTTGAAGGAGAACTATGTGAAAAAACTACGAAAAAGTTGTCAATACCTGTTGCATTTGTCCGAAGAACTGTGCTGCTTCAGTGGTACACTTTTGCCCAATTTTTATATAGGTGCAAGTAGATGCTTCAGAAAGTTCAATTTTTGTAAGACAATCCGGACGTGTACACATTTCTCTAGAAATATAATTTATGTTTTATCAAAAATTTTCATACTCACTTGCAAGACTGTAATTTATCTGCGAAAATTGTGTCATTCCTATTACAATCAGCAGTTTGTGGTTCAGCCAATACTTCTTGTATACATTTGCTTCGTCTCAAGAAAATCTTTTGGCGTTGAAGGGAGAATGGAGCACAGAAATAGGTGTGAAGACGTTTTCCACGTTCCAGTTGCATTTTTTCGGATGGAGTTCCACATTGTACCATTTTCTGATCAAAACATGGAAGTATCCTGCTATACGTCCTAAAATAGAAGATCAGTAAGGAATATAGAGACCAAAAAGATGAGAAACAAACCTGCAAGTGTGCATGAGCTTTGCTTCTGTTGTAATATTGAAAACCACTTCTACAGGGTTCATGTTAAAGTCAACTTTCTGGGCGCTCAATTGCATCACACAAGGTAAGAAATCTTTCAGCTGACAACATAATGAGACTGGAAACAGAAAATATTCGGAAGAAAATGTGAGAAACGGTTACCTGTGCATAATGTGGTGGAAAAGAGCAGTAACCGCATTTCTGTGAAACTGTTGAACTCTCTTAATCGACCCGCAAAACGAACACGCCTGGAATGATAGAGGGGAACAGTTTTGAAGAGAAATGAAAGAGATTGGAATGCGGTCTAGACAAATCCGGAAAGTCGATTTGAAAAGAATGACTCAGATTACGCACGTGCGTGCATAGATACACAACCACACGGCAAACCATATGCACATTACACACAAATTGCTTCCATCCAAATAAAGGCAGTGCTAAGAGCTGGTCGGGAAAAGGCTGAGGTGTCAATCTCAGCGTCTGAGGCTACCTAGCATCTCGCGTTCGGTTTCGGGCCCTACCTTTTTCTAGTTTCTACCGTAGTGTCAATATTGTGAGTTGAAGGAAATGCCCGAGAGAGGCGGGGTAGACGATGAAATGTAATTGCGTGGACGAACCTCGATTTCTGATCGCGATAGTTTGAAATTGAGATGCTGGGTAAAAAAAATAAAGAAAAAACTTTTGCGCCGGTGCATTGCGGCGCTTATATTAGTCAATCAGATGGGCAAATATCAGTTCCAGGAAGTGTGAAATGGAAATCGGCAAGGCAAATTCTAATGATACAGGTGTGAGAAAATAGAGTTTTGATCTGACAAAGAAAGTACCCGAAGTGTCCCCTCGCTTTTTCCTAGATATTAGTGGCAAAAAATGTGATTTTCTCCAACTAACACAAAACAAAAAATATAAGTTGCCCATGCGCAGTTATAGCAGAATGGCAAAACTTTTTGTGATTCGTGAAAAAGAAACTAAACCAACTGAATATTTTACTCTTAGAGATTTTATGTTGTATATGGAAAATGATCTCAATAATATCATGTATACATGGAATTGTTAAAAAAAATTATTTTTTCAAAAATATCTCGTAAATGAACGGTGAGATTTATATTTGAAACCATAGTTGTGTATTATGATATGAGAGGAATCGAATAGACATAGTCTCCCAAAGGTGTTTTTTCGAAAGTCGACATTTTTTGATTTCATACGATCGGACCATTCGGACACTTCGCATCCTAGTAAATTTCTTTGCAAAGATAGAATAAAGGTGTAGTAAAGTTTTTTGTAGCCTGTAATTTGTTCTACAAGATACATGTTAGCTAATAATTTTACTTTCTATATGTACAAAGTTATGATTTTTTGAATGGACTTGATCCACTTTTTCTGAGAAATCACAAAAAGTTTTGCCATTCTACTATAACTGCGCATGGGCCTCTTATATTATTTGTTTTGTGTTAGTTGGAATAAGGCCCATTTTTTGCTAATGATATCTAAGAAAAAGCGAGGGGACACTTCGGGTACTTCTCTTGTGAGGAACTGGATCACGGTCAGAAACAAAAACCAAAAAACTGCTCAGGGCGTCCATGCGGTGAACTTTGACACAACCAACGTAAATACTGCAATACCTAGAATCTCTCCAAGCCATAAACTGTGAGTCTGAATATCTCATTTCTTGTAAAAGATTTGAACAAAATGGTGAACTGACAAAATGTTCATAATGATATCAAAAATATTTGTTTTTTTTCAATTAGGCACTTTTTGATATCTTTCAAACGATTTGAAATAAATTGGACTGAATTGAAAAGTTAAAGGATTGTGGGGAGGGGGACTCTAATGGAATGCTTACAGTAACTTTGGTTTTTGTAGAATATATTTAAAAATAATCAATTGATTAAATGTTTATAATTATTTGTTAGATATTTCATTAGTGAGCCACTTCCTGATATTTCTTACAGGATCAGAGTTAAATGGGTTCAAATGTGACGGTAGAGGGGAATTTTTAATAAAGGCATAAAATGTGCTAAACTATTGACTTTAAGGTAACTTACTAAAGTCACTGACTTAGAAATGACATGCAGTTCTTACAGTTTACAGGGTGGCTTTTAATTATTGACACCGATTCAAGCCTTCATAACTCTCCTAAAACTCGATGAAAAACGTCAAAATTTTGGATTAAAAAATTTCAGACGCACAACATTTATATTAATACAAACGTTTTTGAATTCACTTCTTTTCACTCCGGCGACAGCCGTCAGAGGCTTCGGAAAGGAAACTACGGCGGCACCGTGGTAGTTTTAGCCTAATGGTGCCCATATCTTTTGAAAGGGGGCCTGGATAATTTATTGGATATAAATCTGAGGAGAAAGCGATTTATTCTTATGCCTAGTTCAACTCCAGAGATATGAGTTTGAACCACCCTGGGGTGTCATTGGCCCTGCAAACCGTGGCTGAAGCTTGTCGGAACACCCAATATTAAATGTTCTAGTAGAATCCAAACTAAGGCAGCATTTTGATCAGTTGGATAGTAACGATAGCTGATTTTGGTTTGGAAATCGAGGAAAACAAGGGATTTTTCACAATTTCCAGTGCTTCCATGAAAGATCTTAACCGAATCGGAAGGCAAAGTTCTATATGGGTTTTTTTCCTTATTGACAGACATACATTATATGTTTGAATATAATTTTGTAATTCAGGACAATTTTGTCAGCTTTGGCTAAAAAAAAATCATCACTCGAAAGTGGTGTCCTCATGCGAGTATTAGGCGCGTGCCGCTTAGAAAGTTTCGGTGCTTTTTGAGTCTCAACTATTTGTTTTATGTTTTTCAAAGAGATTATTTGGTAATTTTAGAAGCGTTTGAAGCTGTTCTCTTTTGATAATTATTTTCATCAAGCGTCGGGCCACTTTGAAGTCAGCAGCGAGCTTTCTGTGACTCTAGTCTGAATTTCAGCAAATCCTCTTTTTCGCGGCTAGAACGATCGTAACTAATGTCACAGTTACTTGAAAATTAGTTATTAGACGACCCACGTCAGTGTAAATGAGAAATACGTAATTGGCGGTACCAGCAACCAACATGCGGTCCAGACGGACTGGTTTTGTAACATCCTTCAGCAGGTTACCTTCAATTGAACCGTTGATGACGAAAACGATGGTTGGAAAATGAGCCACCATTTTCTTTAGACATAAAGTTATGTCATGAAATTTGGCAGGAATATTGACACTGAGTAGAGGAACGAGAAAAGTATAAAACAAACTGAATTAGTGCGCTTGGTATGCCCCAGACCTAGCTCGCACGTTTGGTGTCAATAATTAAAAGCCACCCTGTACTTAAAGAATCAAATGTATAGTTCTGAAATCCCAAATAGAACAAAATAACTAAACATAGCAAAAGACAGAGCATCCAACTTCTGGACTTTCTGAACCAGATCACTTTTTGCGCAGTTCGTTTGAATGAAAAAGCTCAGATTCGTGATGATGTTCAAGAACCATCACCGCATCCCTTCACATGTAATTTGACTCCCCTTATACCTAAGTTGACCGGAAGACACTGGTACATAAATAACATGACCTTCCTAGCCCGCCAAAAGTAAACAGTCTCTATTCCAGATTCCGTTTCTCACTGTTCAATCTCAATAAATGTTGAATGAAGAGCAAAGTAATGTTCTTTTGTATTTTCTTGTGAACGAAACAAGGGTTAGCACCATTTGGACACGACATTTCCGAAAGTGAGCACCGTTCAGAAATCTGTTTATTTCACAGAAGAGAAAAAATAGCAAAATATAAGAAGAACACTTGAGAAGAAATGATGATTACGTTTCACATGACACATAAAGTTTCCATTCTGAGACAATGTTGAGGCAATGAGGCAATTGGAGATCATCGCTTTTTGAAAAATCCGCATGAGAGAATGTTCCGGAACGCGTTTCGGAACCTTTGGTCAAATACTGTATAGATCAGTGGGTTTAGGGATGAATTGAGGCTGAAAATAGATTCAAAATGAATTATTCCAGATGAAAACAAACTCACTATCCCAGCCAAGTTGCAAGATATAATGGTAAAAACCCGATGCAATCACTATTAGAATCAATCACTAAACATATCGAATTGCTAAGATGAAGGATGAAGAATGGGAGCCAGCAGAAGAGGAAAACCGCTGAAAATTGACCACTACAAGGCACAAAAAATGCAAGACTTACCCAACACAACTGCGAGAGTTACTGTAGCTTTGTGTTCTCTTCTCATCTGCTTTGTAGCTTTTTTGACCATATGTCTCGATGGCCTAGGTTTGTTCCATCCGCTAGTAGCACGACTTAAACTGAAAACGAAATAGAAATAGGTTATTTAATTTTACGAAATCTCGGACACACCTTTTAAATAACCGATTTTTGTAAACCCGCATCGAATCGGTGAAAGAATAATCATCATTAGGCAATAAATCGGCTGTACTCTTTTTGTGTGAGTTCCTATTATTGTTCAAGGAATCTGTGTCCAGGTACCCGTTTGTTTTCAAAAGTGTAGTAGATTTGCTTTTCATTAGAATCCCCGGATTTGGCAGCAGTCTTTGTTTGTTTGTTCCGTTTTGGTGAGCGAATGGATTTTCCGGCGGTCGAGAGTTCATTTTCTTCTCATCCTGGATACTTGGCACGCTGATACTCCTTAACTCTGGTTTTACATCAAGTAGCCTTGTGGTGCTGGTATTCGATCTGAAAGTAAATAATTGAAAGTCATGGTACAGTAAGAAGACTGCACCTAGTGGCGTGCAATTGTTCCCTGGAATTTTTCACACTTGTAGATCCATCGATGAATGGGAGGATCTCTTCTAGCTCTTCACCGAAGGATCTGGAAGTTCGAAAACTAAAGGGAACGTTGGAGTGACTGTCCGAGAATACTTCTGTACCTTGTGATCATGGCAGATGTGTACTTGTCATCCAACATTTCCACTGTGTCATGCAGATCCATGATCGAGAGTTCTATATCTTTTTCTTTCTCTGGTGGGGCTGAAATTTCCATATTAGTATAGAATCTCTCACTTTTTTTGATCTACCTGGTCGTTCAATGATAGTAAGATTTGGCATTGATCCACATTCTGGAATTGCCGGAATCAATGTGCTTGGATATTGAGACTTCTTTGGAAGAAAATTATTGAACGAATTGATCATTGGAGAGATTGTTGATCCATCGTCAGACGACTCGGAAATCGTCGGGAACGATGACGTCTGCAATGCGTACTTTTTTATAATTAGCTTTCTCTTTTTTTTTCTGCACTATGATTCTGATTATTGGATGCGTGAATTCAATTTTAGTGAAAAACGTGTCATATTCAGTGCAATTGACTTCATTGAGAAAATCTTTCTCAGAAAAAGCATTGTCGAGTCAATTGAACCAAATATACAGCGGAATGCAAGTGCATTTGGCAGGTCTGACCAATTCTCGTGTGCTGCTAGCGCACGGAACGGAGTCAAAACAATTCGTGTGTGTGTGTGTGTGTGTGTGTGTGGTGATTGGTGATTGATTACTAATAATCTCAAAATGTATCGTTTACCTCATCGCTAACCTGAAAGCTGATCTCCAATAGAATTTGGTCTGTTCTGTTCTTGAAGTGTTTACCCATTTGCCGGGCAATTTGTGCACCGCCAAGCAGAGCAGAACTGATCTGTAATTCTTTTGATTTATTTTCCCGACCTTCGGACTTTGCTTCCAACCTTATCAGTTTCACTTCTCTGTGCTTGTCGTAAACTCCTTGCTCGTTCGCGTTGTCGTAACCGTCGGAAAATGATAGTGTACAAAATAATCATGGCTATACATGGAATGAAGAATGAGAAGATTGATGAGATCATGTTGAACCATGGATTTGCCAATTCGCATTGCTGAATCTAAGTGAATTATTTGTTGATTCGAAAAATCATGCATCGGCTTAACCCCTTTTTATTATTACCACACTTTTTATTTTCAGATTAGAATCTAGACGCGTTCTAATATAATCATAAAAAACCCCGCAATGGGTGCCTTTAGAAAGCCTAATTTAGTTTAAGACCCTGTCGAAATGAGTCATAATGATGTCACCGCGTTTGTTTCTTATTTCCTGTCCGCGCGAGCGTATTTTGGAGCCATCGCCACAAAGAAAAACGAGAATAGCCGGTTTCGTTTGACAATCCAATTAGTACTTACGACCCCGTCACTTTTTCGTTACGTCTTCGGACCACCGAACTTGGTTTAATCGAATTTTGACACACATACAGATATCCACACAAATACAAAATTACAACTAATATCACATGATTATTTTGTAGAGAATAGAGAATACACTAATCTGCTTGGGAGCCTCTTGAAAATCAATACTACTCAGATCTCTTTGTTTTTATTTTATATTGTGTCTTCTTTTTCAACAAAAAAAGTAATCTATCATGAAAAGTTTTTTCTGCTTGAGTTTGACATGTGGGCTGCATACGCGTCAGAACAGAAGAAACGGGTTCCTTTCTTTGGAAGTGTTTTTTTTTTTTGGTTTAGCAACAAACTCACATCGTTCTCCATCGGATTCACTCCGAGTAGCAGCGGCAAAGCTACAGCACAACTGACTCCCCAGACTATTGTGATGGAAATCATGGCACGACCGCCACGAGCACCGTATTGGGCATATGATATTGGATGGCCTATTGCGATATATCTGGAATGAAAAACATATATGAACAATGCTGGAAAAGTAGGGTATACCTGTCTAGCGAAATAGCAAGTAAGTTGAGTATAGAAGCTGTTGAGCACGCTACGTCTAGCGCTTGATACACGTGGCAGAAGAAGGAGCCGAGACCCCATTTGAAACCGTTCCACTCATAATATACACCAAATGACATTACACCAATTGCAACCTGAAAATTTTCGATTTACGGTAAAAAAATATACAAAAAATCGTTTTTAGTTTATTTTCAGTTATTTTAACCTAAATTTCCACCACTTTCAGGATGAAAACGTGAAAAACCAGTTTTTTTTAGAAAATTGGCAGATAGCTGAAAACTAAGAACATTTAAAAAAAAGTCTATGTATTCATCAATCAAGTCTGTTTTTTCGAAGTGATCGGAAACTTCGAAGTGACCGAAAATTTTCAAAGTGATCGGAAACTTGACAGCCATACTCCAGACTTCTGGAAATGGAAAAAATTGGTCGAAAATGAACTAACGTATCAGTTTTCACTTTTGATTGCTTGTATCATAATTTTTGTCTCTCTACTCATCCATCAAAGATTGACTATTTAGATTCTCACATCTTCTTTTAAAATCTAGATCCCAAATATTTCAACCTTCTCCGTTATCTGAAAAAACTTCCGGAAAGTGACGTCAAGCCCGACTTTCAACTTTTTTTCGATTTGTCTTTTGTTTTTTTTTTTCAACACCAAACTCGACAAAAAAGTGCCCTCGAAATCTTCTTCCATCTTTTTTTGCATGAGATTTTTGGTGTTCCCATTATCTGTGCGCCAACGCATATATTTTTTGGCTCGTGTCCCACAGGACCAATTCGCGTGGATCGTTTGACATCATGGGCTCTTCATATTTTTGTTGGAATTCGAAGTTAGTAAGTTAGTCACTGCCCTCGAAAAACAATTGAAATGGGGTCACATAAATAAAGAAGCGGGGAGCAGATACATAATGTTATGCTTTAGAAATTTAGAAAAGCCCGAAACAAATCTCCCTGGGGAGAATGCAGAACCAAAGTATGGACCTGGTCTGTCTGGGTAAGGAAGAGAATAGAATACATGTTGTTATTTTATTTGGTTCATCATCAAGATTTCCAGTCTTGTTTCTATTTCTTAGATTCACTTGAAGTATCTAAAAGTAGTATCTTTTCCTAGCTTCATAGCTACCGTAAGCTTTCAAGTGAAAAAACTTGAAGAAAAAAAACTCACAAACAAATCAGAAACTGCTAAACTGACGATGAGCATATTTGTGACTGTTTGTAGGTTTCTTTCCCGATATACTGACAAAATGACCAGCACATTACCGAAGACTGCCATCGTTGGCACGAGTGGCAGAAATACGCCAGCGGCCACTCGCCATAGTACAACCATCAGAGGTGATTCAATTCCTGGAATATGGTGTTGACCAGTCAACATTTTGGGATTTAAGCAGAGTTTGATCCGGGGAAGGTTTAAGGAATAAGTATCAGAAGAGGTGAAAGTAGTTGGAATAGGGAATACGGAAGTATCGAGAAGCACTATGAACAAGTTGTTGCGAAAACTAGGCAGCTGATGTGTTTGGGGTGTCGGCACATGGAAAACCAGTGGAAAGTCTTTGGGTGCCCCACTTCTCTTTTTATAGACTTATTCGGGAAGGAAACGGAATATAAGACGGGGAAGCTTGGGAAAGGGACGCTTCGGAAAGTGAGACGAAGGGCGGGGAGGAAAGGCTAGGTTTCTTGTCAAAGTTTTCTGTTGGGACCTTGTTGGTTTTTTTCTTTTCGTTCCGTTTTTTTTTTTCACGTTGTTTCGTTTTTTGTCTTGAAATGAATAACAGACAAAAAGCAACAAGAAGGGTACGAAAGTTTCACTCAAAAACCACCAAAATCACCAACAAGAGCCATTATTTTCACATGAAAAATGTCGGCGGATGGGTGGAAAGAGGTCCCGAACAGAAAATTGGGTCGGAATGACAAAAACAAAACGTTTCTATGGGATATTTAGGAATGCTGGGGGAAAACAACAAAAATTGTTTCACATCAAGGAGCCAAAACATGTCATTTCCAAAAAACCGCTTTGGTCAAAGGGGTCCTCAATATTTCTAAAAAGTGGCATCACTTTTTACCATTACATTTTGCATGGGCTCTGCAATTTTTGTGCATCGTTGAACAATCATCGCTCATCCCATTGTTTGATTATGCATCAAAAGTACGTATGTGTATTGGAGTCTGGAAGGACACGAGGACCCAAAAATACTGAATAATGTTGCGGAGTTTAAAGATTTTAATGGGTGTGCAAGAAACAAAAAAAAGAGGTGGCGGTCCCTCGGAAAAATAGTTTCAGACAAAGGAAATGGATAAAAGAGGTTTTGAAAAGTGGTATGGAGAGACAAAAGAGAGAAAAGCCGAACTTAATGTTGGAGGTGACACAAAAAGTAGAAAAAAATAGACACGTCAGTTGAAGGCGAGCAGGACAAAAATGGGTCCGCGTCAGCACAATCTGTGAGTAGGTGTTTTGCGAGAAATTTTGAAATTATAATAGAAAATTTTGGTGAAAGGAAAAGGAGTTCGGGAAAATAACTGTTCCGAAAACAACTTTTAAAAGGTTTTTGGGGTGCAAAAAGAACAACGCATCCCACCAGTCTACAGAGTGGCTTCCAAGTACAGTAGTACGGATTATGGTAAACCCTGTTTCATATTTTGTTTTTTGTCAGAATTTGTTACCATCATTCACTTTTTTGTCTGTTTTAGTATCTGGTCTAGTATCCAGACGATGCTTACCGAGTAAATACTGCACGAAAAAAAGGTTGTATGGTAATCCAGGATCAACCACAAATGGGGCGCTCGTCTTTTCAAGACAAAAAGTCAACTCAAAAGCAAAACAAAAGATTAGAAATTCACAGCCCTCCAACAAAACATGACTTTTTTCTGACAAGTTAATGCAGAGGACAATGAGGAAGTTTCGTGAGGGGGGCGAGGGGGTGGTGTCATTTGGGTCAGGTTCTCCTTCTGGAGACACGTTTCGTCGAGAGTTCCATTCTCTCAAGAGGCAGTGATAATAAGGTTATTTCGGCCGGCGAGAGGTTGTCTCCCACGGACTCGCGCACGTGTAGAAAATTTGTATAGCTCCAAACTCTCAGCTAATCAACTGAGAATTGTTTTTTTTTGAGTCGTATGAGTATTTTTTGAAAAAAAAATGATGTGTGAGACAATACTTCGGTATCTAGGGAATATTGGGAAATATGAAAACAGTTTTAAAATAAATTAACGTTACTATTCTGTTCCGCCTTATTAACTTATCAGACGCACCAGACAAGGAAGTTAAAAAACAAATCTGAAACAACAAAACTCAATTTTCAGATAATTGAGTGATCTAAACTTGTATATGTTTCCGTATCATAATTTGACGTCAGGAAAAAAACGTATTCCAGTACAAATAAAATTCAGAATCATAGCAGAAATAAGTGAATAAATCTAGAAGAGAACGATATATTACCGTATTTGCTCTAATGGAAGCCTTAAGTCTGCTTTGAGCTCGATTTCCTCAATTCCTATCAAAAATATTTAAGATCGGTCTAATGAAACATTGGTGGTAACATGATAAATGAATTATCAGTATAAATTTTTTTTGATATCGTTTGAAGGAAACGAAATAATTGAGTTCAATGTCTACGTATGGGTGGGATCATGTTAATACGGTATGGAGTATTGAAGAAAAAGTCGCAGGAAAAATATCACAGACGATAAAAAATCAATGGTCACACAACAGTTCAAGGAACAGTTTATATAATATATGTATATTTTTTGACAATACTATAAAAACTCAAGATAACAAATTATTTTTTGGTGAAGTTAGTTCAGGGAAGCAAAAGGAAACTACTGTAAACGCTCGAACATATGTTCACTGTATCCGCCCAATTTGAGCTCAATTATCTCGGTTCCTTGGAAAGATATCAACAGCTTGTTAATTGATAGAATCTTGGTCATTTTAGAGAGCACATTTCATCAGCTGACAAATTTTTACAGTCACTTTTAGGAAACGAAATAATAAAGTTTAAAATGAACGTCTAATTGGAATTCTGTTAGAGGTTATGTGTCCGGTAAACACATTTCAAAATGTTCCTTAATTTGAGAAATTGAAGCTCAGTTTTTTTTGTCATTAGCGTTTTCTTCTAACTTCTCTTCAGAATTTCAAAGAAGTGTTTTGAAAAAAAACAGCTTGGGGATATATCTTAAATTTCTACAATTGGAAATAGAAAAAAAAAAACTTTGCGCTGACTCGTCTGAAATCCAATCCAATCTTGTCAGCTTACATGTTAGCTAGAAAAGCCCATAATACCGTAGGATCAACGGAGGAAGAGCCAGAGTAAATAACAAAGCAAGAAAAAGAAGAGTAAAAAGAATCTAAGAAAAAAATAGAATTAAAAAAAGGGAAAACTAATAATTTGGTGAATCGAATGTTGCCAGATCTAGACAAACATAACCGACACATTCAGAAAAAAAACGAGAGGGATGTGAATGAAAAGCATGAGCAGAAGAAGTAAGGAAAGAGAAAAATGAATGTTTTAATATCTCGACGATGTGTGTATGGGGTGTGTCTGTTATTTTTTATGGAAAACGGAATGGGGATCTTGAGAATTGGGCGCCTGGAGGGCGTCGAATGAAGAATAAACCTCAGCGTCTCCTTAAAGCGTTACGCCTTCACAAAAACAGAGGACAGCATCGTCGTCGGCAACGCAGGAGCCGTAGAAGAAAACGTTGGCTGGGAGGGCGCCCCTAAATAGGGACGAGGACGATTGGAAGTGGAAAAACACTGATTTCGGTCCGTGTTGAGTGAAGGACTCAACAAAGTAACACGAATCAACCCTTTAAAGAGAAGAAGACTTTGGAGGACCTCCTCCCTCCCAAAGTAACAATTTAGATCCACAAGAGAAGAAATTGAGAAGTGGTTGGTGGGAGGAATGAAATGAATCGAAGTTTTTGGGTTCTAGGTACTAGGTAGTGGGTTTCGGCGGTCCGTCTGTTTTCGGGTTTGACTCAGACTGCCTATTTGGAAGGCACTTTCGGGTATTTCTAAATTATCTCCTTTTTTTACAAACTCATTTTTCAGGAGCCTTCTTCCGTTTCCCGTGTAGTTCTTATTATCAGTCTGAAAAGTGACATGTCAGAAAATTGTGGAAACGTGTGATTAGGAAACTCCGAAAATTGAAAATACAGAAAACCAAATGTTCTGAAATCCGATAATATTTGTAATTTTAAAATCTTTTTAACTCCGTAAAATACACAACCCAAAACTTGAAAATTGTGTATTTTGACAATCTAAGATTCCGAAAATTTGATATTTGTAGATTTCAATTTTTGAAAGATAATAAGATTCCAAAAACTTTCAGATCAGGTTTTAAAATTTTGAGCAGAGTTTTAGGCTCGAAAACTACCAATGTTTCTTCCGAAATTTTTTACCGAAATTTTTCAAGATTCTAATAACTTTCAGGACTTCGAGACCCTAAGATTCTGAAATACAAAGGTTCTGAGTTCACGAGTGTTCAAAGTTCTGAAACCTGATAATCGTGATTTTAAAGTTTTGAATTTTGTTTAAATTCTCAGTTTTTGAAAAAATTATGCTTCAAATTTGGAAAATTGCCAAACTGAAACATTTGATCACTGAAGGTTTGTGATATTCAAAGATTTTTATTAATTAGGAATAAGAGAGACGTGAAATTTTGTAGACTTTGAGATTCTAATCTTTGGGAATTGGAAAAAAAATCACATTTATTCCGAACTAACAGTTTCAAAGCTTATTTAGAGCTAAATTTGAAAAGATTCTGAATTTTCTGATAAAAATGGCTTTTTAAGTTTTCAAGATTCTGATATTTCAGAACATATTTCAAAGCATGAGCCTCCAATGAGAGTAAGAACTTGACACACTTATTCTGAACATGATAAATTAACCATGCACAAAAAAAATAACAAAGGACGCCCTTGATCCCAAACAAAAGCAACCTACGACCTACTCCCTATCCGGGGTCGATTACACTTTTTTGCAAGGCGCATTTATCAAAAATTCCAAATGCAAACACTAATTTGTGTGTTGGGGCCTACGCACTCTCTGTCTACGCTTTTTGTCCTCCCAATCGTTTCTTTTCAGGTCAATTTTGTCCGTTCTTGCTTCCGGTGGCTTGACCACATACATATTGGGACAAGGGAAAAGGTTTCGAATCTCCTCTTTTCGACCTCCGATTGGTTTTTGTGGACCACAAATCAAGGTGTTGAGATTGGTGGTAGCTGGGATTGAGAGGTAAGGGTAACACACAACACACATTATTTTTCTCCCACTCCCGCTTCATTCATCAATGAACGGCTCCCGGGAGCAACAAAGAAAAGTAGCAGAACAAGCGGATCATTGCAAAAAAATGGTTGGTGGTGGAGGTGTATGTGTGT